CAGTAGGCACTGCTGCCCTGTTACACTATGGGCCACTAAGAAACGCCCCGTAAGATGCAAACAGTGCGGGCATGCCACCCAGGGCTTCCATGATGTCGAAGAAGGCCACCTTCCTCCCTGAAGCTTCCTCACTTCTGCTGGCAATTTGGCGGGTCACACCTTTATCGCTGGGGCCCCACACCACCAGCTGTTCGTTTGCCTTGAACAAGGGTAAATCGTCTAAGCCCGCAGCAAAGGCGGCTATGTCAGAGGCGAATGCCTCTGTCACGCCTGTCTGCGATGGCGAGAGTCGATCATTGTACTGTTGCCAGAGTAGTGCCGAATCGAGCATGTGATTCGCCTTACCACGACAGGGACCATCCCATGGGTTTCCCTCGTTGAAATTACCTACGTAACCCTTCGGCCATAGCGTAGCAATGCAGCAGGCAGGTGCATAAAACCACAGGTCGTTCACATAGTCCATGATGCAAAGAAGCGCCGCGTTGTCATCAGTATCAGCCGCCAAGCCATACAGGCTGAGCAGTCGCTCGACAGCGGCCGCCTTGGCTTCGAAATGCTGCCTCATAAAACCGCAAAAAGTCTTGGCAATGTCTTTCTTTCTATGGGCTAGGACGAGGAAGCCCATTACGGAAGACTACAATAGGGATTACATCAGCGGAGATCTCGAGGACAGAAGCAAAGTCAGTACGTACCTCAAGATTACCTTGGACGATGAACAAGCGCTCACACCACTGCTTGCCTGGAAGAAGTGTATCGCTATCCTTGAGCCATCCCGCGATGGAGATGGCGTCGGGAACGGTCTGCCCATCGACCACAACGTTGAGTCCCAAGGTGAAGCCAGCCTGGCCCATGATATCGCTCTCATCTGCTGTCAAAAGCTCGTTTATTTGATCACTTGGTGATAGATCAGCCAGTTTGAGAGAAGTTGCGACTGTGCTGTATATCTTCTCAGCGCTCTCCATAGAAGAAGGACCCTGGACCATGCTGGAGCCACCTAGGATTGCGGCTTGATTGAAAAGGGGCTCCCGGGATTGAAAATGGTAGCAAATAGACACTTAAACATCCATTAGATCCCGACTGTGTGCAGCTCAGCGATGGCTTACTTGCTCCAGCACTCTGGCCGACGGCCGTGATCAAGTCTGGGTTACCGCCAAAGCCTCCAATGTACTTCTTAATCCATCGGAAACAAGCTTTCTGGTCAAGCAGGGCGTTGTTCGCAGGATAACCAGCTTCACGAAGCTGATGTGATGTCAAAAGACCCGGCAAGCCCAGTCGGTAACTTTCTGCCTATCAGCTTACCCTCAACACTTGGATATGGAAGGTGCAAGAGCGCGTACTTGAAAATGACGGTGATGACGGGAGTCCCTTTTCTTTCCGCGAGTTCCACGAACTTGTCTTGTACGTAATGAGGATACCAATTCGAGCCAAAAAGAAAAGCGCCCCCGTGGACGTAGACAAGAACTGGAAGCTTTCGCGTGGCTGTTGGGAGTCCCACTGATCGAGGAACACATATATTGAGATTCAGACAATCCAAATCACTCATAGCCGGCACTTCTGTCTCAGGAAGGCTCTGCTGCACCATGCTAGTTTCCATGTGAAGGGCGTCGGCTGGCGAAATTGGAAAACAGCTACCACAGACTCAGTACATTTGCTTGTGCTATGCGGTTGAAGTGGATGAATCAGAGAACTAGGCCGTACCCCAGTTTAGTGGCATCAACACCGGAGCTGGGAGTGTACTCGTTCACCTCAGCCCGCGCAAAACGATTCGAAAGTTTGCCATATTTGATGCCCAGAAATTGAACACTGCTTCCCGTACCAGCAGGTTTCCCCTGGACAACGCCCATGAGCGGGTGATGAATCGCACAATCAGCCATTCTACGGTGATAGGTTTGGGTCTGCTAGAGGTAGGGATGTAACGATGGGAACGATACTGAGCGGCAGCAAAGAAGGATGGGATTCAATCCACCAACAGACAGCGAATGCTATAGCTTAGTAAAACTCAATTAGATACTGTTTATCGGCTATAGATAGTAAGCTCTATCCTCCTTTGAATCTTTTATGATCTATTTATATAGAGTCTGGAGCGGATCTTTGGAGGTATATTGCTGGATATCTATTCTGGCTACCTTTGCTCAGACTTTATGGGGAATCTTAGAGATAAGCGTATAAATCAACGAACCTAATTACTCTTACTCTCTACAAATCAAAAAAAATCAACAATAAACATCGCCTTCTTCTTTTGAGCCAGTACTCATTAGTCATAGATCAATCATAATAAGTGGGGGCCATGATTCTGTAGGCTCGGCGGATTCCGCAGTCCTCTCCCTGGCTCAGCGCACATGTTACAAAGCCCATCAAAGCGCTTCGTAAACGCGTCGGCGTCGGGAGCCCACAATAACGCCGTGGATTGCGTGGGCGGCAAACTAATCATGTTAACAACCTCAGTCAATGTGGATTCGGCTTGGCGGTCTCAAGTATACCCTATCTCGGTCTTCGGGGGCGAGCCCTCCGGGAGACGATACCACTGCTAAGATATCGATCGGACGTCGCCCGGAAAGCCATTGGATCAGACAGGCCGCCGTCCAAGGGGACATGGACCCAGGGATCCGAGCGGTACCTAGGTAGCGCTCACATGGCTTGACCCCTGTATCTGGTCCAGCTAGTCTAGTATAGTGCCTCAGCTGGGGCCTGTATCCATACAGTACAATCGAGCGCGCTCCGTACCAATTGTCTGTTGCCGCTATTGTCATCTCTCATCTTGATGAAGGAGGGAAGAGCGCTTGCACTAGTCATGCTTTCCCAGCCGGAGACTCTAACGCCGCTAAGGCGAGGGGAATTTCCCCGGCATGGCCGTCGCATCTCTCGCGCGCTCGCAGAGCTGTCACCCTGGATCTTGGATCTTGGATCTTGGATCTCGAGACAATACAGTCAATCAAGATAGCATCATCCAAGCGCGACGTCTCCAGCGCGGCCGGGGAACAAAGGTAGCAATTGTGTCTGACACGCCCCTGGTCGCCTGTTTCTGCGTCCTTCCTCCAAGTCCTTCTTTAGGTATGCACCTATCGTGGATCGAGGAACAGTGGCATCAACGTGCTCGGGCGCATCAACAGCATGGAGCAGACCACTGATTGTATATATGGCCGACTGCCTCGCTTGCCTGCTGCGGTACGACACCACCACAACACAGCCCATCTCCCTTCCCATTGTGCATCATCAGCTAGCTTCACATGCCTGTCAAGACTGCCAAGGGCTAACATGCGCTTTGTCTTTTTTTCCTAGTGCGACAGTTGTTATGCAAAAAAGGTCAGGACACGGGACTCGGGCGACTCCGACATCTCAACCCTCAAGAGGCTAAAGCAGCCATGACTGACTGTCGTGGCAGACAAGATGTGACAGACAAGAGCCCTGTCGCCCTTGCGCAGCGGCCGGAATCGCTTGTGTGAGGACCCGACCACGACAGACGCGTGCGAAGCGCCAGAAGACAGGCTGTCAGAGGTAAGCCGCGAGTGATGGTCCACTCCGCCATTCTACCCGGCGCGCCTGCTTCGCAGCTTGCTGAACTTGTGTGGCGTTATAGCTCGAGTAGAGACACGACCATGGGCAGTGAAGACGTCATGACAGGGATCATAGAACGACTTGCGCAGATGGAAGAGGCCTTGAGGGCGGTCCAGCAACAGACAATGGGCTTCGCAGTGGATGAAGGTGCCACCAAAAGCCCCTCAGATCGCAATCCTTCGGAAGCAAACTCATCGCTTGATTGGCAATTTCAAGAACAATTGACCCCCGCAAGCTCGACCCATGGCAATGCCATGGGAGGCCAGCAGGTCCGAGACCTGTCACGATACCTAGGCTGTGCAATCCAGTCAAACAGTATACTGACTCCTGCAGCGCAGAATGCCCTCTTAGAAGTTGATATGCTGCTTACGGGTTTGGACTTTGGCAGATCGGTGGAAGAGGATACCTCGGCACTGAAGGGCATTCTCGAGTCGAGCCCGCTCACCGATGTGCCCAACCTATACGTTCCTTGGTTATATCCAGAGGTGGACGTCTTCTATATGCTCTTCAGTGGTATGTGTTTTACTGAGTATCAAGTCGTCATCTCCAAACTAATGTGCGCCTCGCTCTCTCTACCAGAATGTCGGTCCTCTACGTCGATGGACTTCTTGGATGGCTTTAGCGGCATGACCATTCCTCAGGTGGAGGAAATGTTGCTTGCCCTGATCAACTGCACGGTCCACGGTCAACAGCGACTTCAGCATCTCATTTGCATCAATTACATGGGTTGGCTCATTCTGCACGTTCTGGACGGGAGCTTGGCGAGCAGCTTCATTAGCCACTACCAGCGCAAGAAACGTCAATCGTACTTTGAAAACATTATATTCTGCTTGAAACACCTGGAGCTCAAGGTTCAACCGGACCTAATGCTCTTACAGACAGCGTGTGCTGCCACACATATACTTCACTCAATGGGGTATCCGCAACCGTGCCGCCGGCTAAATCAGATCGCCTGTCAAATCGGGCTGTGCCTCCAGGGCGACGAGGCAAGCCTTCAGGCAATGTCGCCCGATGTGTATATTCAGTTCCATTTTTCGCTCGTACGGTGTAATCTCCAGGATAAGACTATAGCATTGCACTGCGAGGAGCTGCCAGCTACCCCAATGCCCCGTTTAGACACCACCCTGCTCGATCATGCCGGTCTCATACCTGTTGTCAGCGGCATGACCCGTGTCATGTATGATCTTGCGATGGCCGAAGAAGCTGTCGTCCATGAGTATCTGGCGCGTGAACGCTCCATGAGTCCTGTCACTGACTTTGAGGGTGTGATGCAAAGCGCTCGTGCAACAATGGATCAATATATGTCACAACTCCCGACCAACACAGATGCCTACTGGTCATATGAATGGTTGTGTGTAGATTTCATCTACTACACGATCTTAGCTCGTGGCATTGGTCTGCGGCTCTGCCGACAGAACGACTCCCAGATCTACATAGACTGCTTAATGAATGTCCGAGAAGGTGTAGATGCACTCATCAGTATGCTTGAACACACTGCTGAAAAAAGATCGTCAAGGATGAAGTGCCTTGGGACTTTAGCATGGTCAGTATTTTATGCACCCCAGTCTGAGAAAAGGCCCAGTCTTGTTGACACGCAGACAGGATTATGTCCTACTTTCTCCTGTGGCCATTGTGCTTCTTGGTGAGGCACCTTATAGTCTCTCCAGACAAGCTTGATATCCAGCGACTGAAGCGCCTGACGGATTTGCTTGACGAAAACGTCAGAATCCACTCCCTCGACACGGCCGCGGTCAAAACAGCTCGAGATCTCATGTTGATCTATCTGAATTACGCAGATCTTACTGCTAGGAATGCTCAGCTCAGTTTTGTTATCTAGTGTATTGGCCTTGTAGGGTATTGTTGAGCAGAACGGATGCCCTTCTGTGCTCGTTAGCGATTATCTAGTTATTAATCTGGCTGAGGGAAGGCTTTGGTAGGCTTTGATCCGACGGTCCAGTCTGTATACACCGCAAGGTAGAACACGAGTTCCAGGAGTCATGATGTAAGCAAGCATGCTTCTAGTTGAAATACTTGTTAGATAATACAAGCCCTGCATTCACACAATACTCTTAGTTGCTAGGTGAATCGGAAGTCGCAATGATGTCGGCATCAATAGAACCTATGTGAGGTCGAGACACCTGAATGAAGCGCAAAGAGCATTAGCTTTAGGGAAAATCGCTCAGGTGGGAGCACTCATACTTAAGATATTAAGTTGGCATACCTAATCAGACCCGATCAGGGCTGGTAAATGTGGAGGGAGATTGCTCGGGCTTCTGGATCCCGCAAGTTCCCTGTTGTCTTCACTTCGGATTCCGGCTGTGCCATGCAACAGTTTATAAGACATGCCACAGCGAATGATAGGTCGCCTTCGCAACGACAGTTACCCTTGTCAATTTTTTTTTCGGCCTTTTTTGTCAATTCTATCAAAAAGCCATGTTTGACATTGAGGATCCCACGACCTGGCCGGAGGCGGGCAGATTAGATCAGGAACTCTCCGAGGTAATGACACGAGAATAGACAGACAACGCGGCCTCCACAGTGCTGGAAATATGCTGATACTTGATTTGTCGTGCGATTATATTAGATAGTTCGCGATAATCCGAAACCGTCATACAGTCGGGAGGGAGATGACTACCTTCAGATCCGTAGGGACTGGACAGCCAAGGCTAGGAAGGAGGCTGATGAGTCGCTGGCGGCGGCCGAGAACCAGGTCAAGGAACATGAGATCCAAATTCCTATGCAAGACGGGTCACAGATGCGCGCACTCGTTTACTCCCCAACGCAGCCTGGGCCGTCAGGAAGCCCTCTCATTGTTTTATTTCACGGCGGCGCCTTCTGCTTCGGCCCTCCCGAATTCGAGTCCCTCAACTGCATCAATGCCGTCCGGCGGTTCGCTTGTGTGGCGTTGAGCCTAGATTACCCTCTTGCCCCGGAGGTGAAATGGCCGAATGTTCTATATCAATCCTGGGATGCTCTCAAATGGGTATGCCGGCGGAGCCTTCGCCCAACTCGAGGCTCACTGCACCGTGCTGTATTCTCTGTTCCTGCTTGCTGACACTCGGTCCAGATCGCATCCAACTATTCAATGCTGGGCGCTGACCCTTCGCAGGGCTTCATCATCGGCGGCTGCTCCGCTGGCGGCCTGATCGCCGCGGTCTGCGCGCATTGGGCCCAGGACAAAAACCTCAAGCCGGCATTGACCGGCGTTCACTATTCAGTGGCCGGCTTTGGGTCGCCGGAGCACTTTCCTTCGCAGTACCGCGATTTCCACACTAGCCATCAGAACTCTCAGGTGGTGCTTTGGAAGCGGTCCACGCGCCCGTACGACGCCCTGGCCGCGCTGGAGCTCGATTTCGACTCGCCTCTCTGGAACGTTGTCGCCTGGTCTACCGGCCATGGGGGCCATCCACCCGCCTACTTTCAGGTTTGCGGCATGGATTCCACGCGGGATGACTCGCTGATCATGGAGCGCGTACTGCGGGACGCTGGGATCAAGACCAGGCTGGATATATATCCTGGCCTACCACATATATTCTGGGTGAGCTATCCGGAACATTCACTGCGAGAAAAGTATCTGAATGATACCGTACTCGGTTTTGGGTGGTTGCTGGGGAAAGAGGTGAATGCTACACTGAATTTATAGAGAGTATATGCCAAACTTTAACCAAGATCGTCCTTCATGTAGAGTTAGCTTGTTTAACATGAGGACCCGAATCACTGTCCTATTCATCTAATCATGTTGTGACAGAATATACAGAATATATAAGCCGACAATTGAGTCCTTCTGACGAGGACGTTCTCACGTTTGTCAGTTAGCTCAATTGTCACACATGTTTGAATAAAGTGGGGTAAACAAATGAGCGCCTTGCATCGTCAGAATTTGTATGGCAAAGTGGTGATTATCCCGTGACTGATGAGCCTAGGCATTTTATACCTGACTTTGGACGTACTGATTGATAACATCCAGTGCCCATTGCAAAATCCGGGGGCGGTGTTCTTACTATCGGCGCAATCGGATTCCGCACAATTTTAGTTGTGACGGACACTCCGATCACAAAGAACACAGCTGTTGCTGGTAATTACTTTGATGTTTCTTTTCCTACAAAACAATTAGAGCTGCAAGGTCCATCTCCCGGTATTTTCAGTGCCTTGTCTTCCACAGAGTCGTCTCGCCGAAATTGAAGATGCCATTTATGAAACCATTCCCCGCTCCCCCGACGGCCCTAGGTCGTCATCGGGTACTCTCTCCCACGGCCTCTGTGCGTGTCTCTCCGCTATGTCTCGGCTCGATGAGCTTTGGCGACTCCTGGTCTGAAGTCATGGGCGCATGTGACCGCAAAATGACGGAGGAGATATTGGACCACTTCTACGGAGCCGGTGGCAACTTCATCGATACCGCTAATCTGTATCAGGATGGAGAATCGGAGGCTTGGCTGGGTGACTGGATGGCGTCGCGAGGGGTTCGACAGCAAATGAGTAATACTACCCCAGTTGCGATTCGTGTGTTAAGGACCCTCGGCACTGACTGATGTTGGTTAGTCATCGCGACAAAATACACCGGCAATTATTCTCGCGTAGACGAGAAGGTGCAGATCAGATCCAATTACGGTGGCAACAGTGCCAAGAGTCTGCGCGATTCCATGGAATTCAGTTTGAAAAACCTCAAAACAGATTACATCGATATAGTAAGAGTATCCAGAACTGGGGATTTTTTTGCATACACGGGGCTGATGTACGTGCGACCTAGTTATATGTCCATTGGTGGGACTGTACCACCTCTATATCCGAGCTCATGCAGTCGCTGAACCAAATGGTCCTGGCTGGGAAGGTCCTGTACCTGGGAATATCGGACACACCTGCCTGGTTCGTGACGCGAGCCAATGAGTACGCTCGCAACCACGGGCTACGGCCTTTCGTTGTATACCAGGGCAAGTGGTCAGCTGCTAACCGCGACTTCGAGCGCGAGATCATCCCCATGGTCAAATATGAGGGCATGGCATTGGCGCCCTGGGGAACCTTGGGCGCTGGCCAATTTAAGACCGACGAGCAGCGCAAACAGGGTGGTCGGACAGGACGAGCACCAACAGAGAGAGACATCCAAGTTTCCCGCGTCCTCGAGAGCATTGCTGTCCGCAAGAACACGCTGCTTACGAGCGTGGCGCTCGCATATGTGATGCACAAGACTCCTTACGTCTTCCCGATCGTAGGTGGTCGGAAGATCGAGCACCTGCAGGCCAACATCGAGGCGTTAAGCTTGGCTCTTACACCCGAGGAGGTGCAAGAGATTGAAGACGCCTATCCTTTCGAGTTGGGATTCCCTCTCAACTTCATTTACGGCGAGAAGTTGCCCCAGCACCCCAGCATTGTGCGGGTTCTCGAGAATGGTAGCCATTATGACTATGTATCCGAGCCGAAGTCTATCGAAGCACAAAGGAGTACCTGAAGAGTACTTCTAACTGTAAATGAGGAAAGTTCTGAAAATACAAAGGCAATCTATATGCCGTGATAGCCTACATCCTACTCTAAGGAGACGGCCATCCGCTCCGTATCCAAAAAAAGAAAAACTTGCTTAATTTTGTTTCAGTGTCCTTTTTGGGCACATTTTCATGGGTTTCCACGTAACCTACTTGATGATGTATGACATGGCCATTTTCCAAGCTCGGAATGGTTACTTTACGAGAGATCTGCGATAACAGTTTTGGAGCCCAGCCGTGAGCGGTTCGTAGAGTGGACAATAATATAATCCAGTAGACTTTGCTATCTTTCGAATTACATCATGCCAGTCATCTACGTGCTCTCTCAGTCTCACCACCTTTTGACGATTGTGAAATCGGAAGAATTCTAGCTCGCAACAATCACATCAGAACAAGAAGGACAGCGTGTTCTATCACGATATAGGTTGTTGGCAATTCCTGCCCTAGCTCATGAGCATCGATAGGCGGGAACTTTGACACAAAGTAGAGACTAGCACGGAATTTTTGACCAGTCGGTGGGTTTAATGGTCAGCTGATAGAGTCGATCGCTAGTCTTGAACACTTGAGCGCTTAGGTATATGTCATCGCTGAACACCCGCAGCGACATTTCTGGCAAAACTCCAATTCTAAACTCCGGGGCGATGACTCACTGATCTCAGTATTTTCCTCTTCACAATCAACTGATTTGCTTCAGCCCAATCAGAGAGAATTACTGGGTCCATGGGTTGTCTCAAAAAAAGAAGAAAGCAAAAAAAAAAAGGAATTTAAGGAAAAAAACGCATGTAGATCAATGAAGTTCACCGCCTAAAAATGATCCGTTTAACATTGGGTAGTGTATCATGCCAAAGCCTCTTTGTCCTTTTCTATTTTACTTATACCGTTGAGCTTGCCTGTCGACCGCATGGCGAAAAGATCGCTGCCTGGTTTGATCTTTGCCCAATCGTGTGCATCTAAGCAAGCACCCCTGCTTTTGTGTACAGACCAGCCAGCTCTATCTTTCATCTCCTCCTCATAACGTCTGACGACATCTGACAGAGGGACAATCTCATTCGTGCTTAAGCTTCTGTAGTGCTCAGCGAGCAAATCTTTAAGATGATGAGCATCAGTGAGGCCATGATTTGCAGCTTCTCCACGATCTTTGCCATTGGTCAGCGCAATGATTAGAGGGTTAAGTCAGAATGGATTTCAATACTTACACATAACCATAGCGTGAGCGGCGTCGCCGATGAGAGTGGTTCTTCCCTGATTCGAAGGCCACTCCAAATGCCGCCAGTCACGAAGCTTGATCTCAGTAATCTCCATATCATCTGGGATATATGAGAAAGCTGTTCCCAACTCACCATGAAACGGCTTCGCTAATTGTTTCATCTTGGCTACTCGTTCCTTATTCGTAGCAGGAATCTCGTCTTCAGGGGTATGAACTGGCCAGGATATGTTGAGCTGGCAGGCGTAGTAAGCCCCATCGCCGGACGAACCATTCACCTCAGGAGTATCTAGCAGTGAGTACCAGAGAAATGAGCCAGTCTCAGGATGTGTGCCTTGAAACAGCATGGGATCGACAGCTCGTAGAGGCGCGATCTGTTCGGGTGTAAGTTTAATCGTGACACCCATGAATCGGATGGGCAATTGCTCCAGATGCCCGTTGTCTGGACAAAGAAGGCGTCGAGTCATGGATGTAGCTCCATCAGCGCCGACCACCATAGCACCTTCGGCTGTTGTGCCATCTTGAAACGAAACTTGTACACCAGAGTCCAGCAAGTCAATGCCGCTGATATGCTTGTTCCACTCCACGTCGATGCCTTCGAGCATAGCCTTTCGGAATTTTTCACGGTTAATTCGTCGTTGACGAGGAAGTTCAAACTCATATAACCTGCTTCCATCCGCAAGGTTGAGGTAGCAAAACTTGGCAAGCTTTCTGCGAGCCGATGAAGGATCTACCTCTGCGGTATGGAGGCGGCCAATCATGGTCGCAGGCAAACAGGCCTCAAGCGCTTCGAAAACCCATAGTGTAATCGCCCACCCATGACCACGAACGTCTATATGTTCGTCACGCTCGAAAATGCGAAAAGGGATGCCCTCCTGACGTAGGTTAACAAAATGTTCAAGGGGGGCGATAGGAGGTACTTTGGGCTGTAGCGGACCTTCTTCAATGCCTGAGCCAGAGCTAGACCCACAACACCAGCTCCAATTATCAGGATGGGAGCGTCATTAGCCATATTGTGACTGTGATTGACTAGGATTTGACGCGCTGATGTCCGGAACCAAAACTGAACGAATAATCGAACATGAAAAACGATGCACAATGCTTACCTCAACGCAGTGGGATGAACGTTGTCCGCTCGTAGATCTGAACAGTGTGCGTCTTTTTAATTAATCGTGGAGATCGTCATCTGTATTAGTCGGAATCCGCAGCGACCCCACAATAAATGACGGGCGTCGGCACGGAGATCAGCGGATTCCAAATACATTGCAGAGCTCATGGAGTAACGGAGTAGCGTTGTACTGCAGGCTATACACTGCCATAATTATCAAGACGGAGATGAGTCGAACAACCTAGGTCTGCAACTCCATGTCTTCATTATTGATTTGTTCCCCTTGAACTGTTACGCATCAGCAATAGCATCATCCACCGTGTACCCAGCGAGCACGAGAGAAGCATTCAAAAAATGGCTTCCAACCCGTCTTCATACTCCATTTCGGAAACTGCTGTTCTCCTGCTGGATTACCACCGCAGGTATCACGACTTCGTACAACCGGAGGGCAGGGGTGCCGCCATGGCTCACGCTGCCAAGGAACTGCTCACGTGGGCCCGCGAATCCAAAGTGCTGATCATACACTGTCTTCTGGACCTCTGGAACCAAGTTCCGGCTAAGTACACTCGAGCAAGTGGTCGATGGGACTGGATTGCCAGCATGGTACGAGAAGACCCACAGAGCTTTCGTGAGCACGAGCTTGTAGCTCCCCCCTTTGGCACAATTGATAGACGGACGGATGGCGAGCTTACCTTTTTTCGTCGTCCCGGGCAAGTCAGTGCCATGTACAGCCCAGGTCTAAGAGAGATCCTACAAGCCAGAGGAATCAAGCATTTGATACTGGGTGGAATGTCAACAAGTGGTTGTGTATGGGCGACAGGTAGGTGTGGTGTTGATGAGGGCTATGTTGTGAGCATTGTGGCAGATGGCTGTGGTGATCCAAGCAAGGCAAAGCACGAGTTCATGATAGAAAACATCTTCCCCCATGATTTCTGGGTATTCCAGACGGCTGCAGAGGCAATTCATCAGGTCAAAGCAGGCGGAAGCAAGGTTGTTGTCAAGCTTTGAGATATACTGTTCTAGACTGAGCGGCTAGGATTGAGAAGATCAGAATCTAAGATGACTTGTCCAAGTCCGTTAATTCTTAACAGCCTTCAAGATATCTCTTTTCTATAGACTAGCAGTAAGACCATATCTGTACAAAATAGGCTACACATAACCTACGTATTAGAGGTATTCTGGGCCCGTTCAGGGACCATTCAGCCTCGGGTATTACTCTTCTATATCACTACACGATGATAGGCGCGAACTAAATTGATAATTTTGTTGAATCCCTCTGAGATGGCTACATGGTGAAAATGACCTGGACAGTAAATCGAACGTGTATATTGAAAATGCTAAGTGGAACAACTGAAACAGATTCTCAAAACTTTGCCTCGTTACATGCGGTATATATGTACATATGCATGCACATATCTCAAGCAAGGAGGGTTAATTCTACCCGAAGTGTGAAGATAAAAGTATGTGGCACCCAGAAGTGTTTGTTGGACGAGAAGAAAATCCATACACGAGTCTTTTTTTTTCAAACGCTTAGCGCCACGCCGGATTGAAGCAGAAGACACGCTTCACAAAGCCGCAACGGCTCCCATGAACCCAGCAAGAGCTAAAGAACCGGCGATCATGCCCGTCTCACGAGCCAAAGCGGCACCAGCAGTTACAGGGGCCACGGTCGACGAGGCTGTGGTGGTAGCAGCGCCAGTTGGAAGTGCAGAAGTTCCATTGAATGTGCAGTGAGAACCGTCGAAGATAGAGTGAAGCCATACCAGAGACGTGGCGTACTCGGCATCGGGGCATGCAGATTCGACACTGGCAATCTCGGAAGTATGTACGCTGAAATAGGACAGCACACCCGATTTGTAAGCCGAGTAAGTGGACTGCAGGGACTCCGCCAAAACGGTAGCAGGGTCACAGTAGTCGCTTGGGGCGGCAGTCTGGAGGAAGACCCCAAGGGCGGCATCAAGGTCGCCCGAGGGCTCGACGCCGTTGGTGACGAGGGCTTCGGCTGCGGCAGTGCAATCAGGCGATTCAGTCCGAGGGAGCATCTGAGGCTGGGCCATCTGGCTTGCAACAACGGTAGAGGCCATGAGGCTAGTAAAGGCAACGATCAATGTTTGAGAGAACATCTTGACCTGAGGTGGGAGAGCTGGCTTGATAGCGCTGGGTGGGTAGAGAAGTCTTCCTGGTTTTGGCTTAGGTAGGGCTGCTTGGAAATCTTTGAAGGCCAGTCAATGAAAGCTGAAGGCTGTGTGATATAAAACATATGGTTAAAGACTCGTCAACATATTGCACAGAGCCAGTCTTTTATGTTTGTCTGGCCGAATGTTCTACACGGAGGGAAAAACCCGTAAAGAGGTTGTACTAGGCGACAAGATCGGCACCACACTGCGGGATCCTGCAAGGGGTGACCGGCGACTAGTGTGGCAAAGGTACCATGCTACACTAGCTCGCGGCACTTGCCGGCCTTGATATCTTCAAAGCCACGAAGAATGCTGGCCGGCAGGTATTACTCGGTCCCGGTGTCCGGACCCCGGAGCCCGAGCCCACCAGCAGCGTGACCAGCTTTAGATACCACGAAATGAAAATGCCGCACTGGCTCACAGACGGCACTACCTTCCGCGTATATTGATGGTTCTGATTGTCAATGTGCGATAGGCTCTTCAATTGGACTCAAACACGTCAGTATACGAGTCAGGCAAAGGAAGCGCAACTGTCAGGTGTCTGCAATTCTCTGTAATTCTACAACTAAAGGCCTTATCGAGCATGGAACCCAGTCACAAGCGGTCCCTGGGGAGAGAATTACCGGCCCCCACGCCATAAGAGGGAAAGCACACGTTCAACTTCGATCTGCTCCATCAGTTTTCACCACTGTATCGCCCCCACCTTACGATAATGCAATTCATTGCTTCCAAAGTCGTACGCAGAGATCGGAATACCCTCGTCATCGTTCTCTCTTATGCTTAGCCAGATCTGCCACAAGAACCTTTGATGAGTAGAGAGCCCCAAGGTTATGACTAGGACGTACTGGGAGCGGGCAGAAATAATCAGGTGGTAGCGGTGGTTTCCGTGACGTTAGTCTTGGGAATATCCGGCAATGAGTACCACATAGAAGGGTCTGTGTCGGTCGCGTCCCCTGGAAGAGCCTAAGGTCGAGTGAGATAGGCGGTGTGATTTCCCCGGCCCCAGCCTGTTTGTTACCCTTGGACTCCTCGTCAAGTTCACATCCAGCCCGGCAATACTTTTATATTAAATATCAAGAACCGAAGAGGAGAAATTACCGGAATTTGCGTCGATTCAGGACCCGTTGGCTCATCACCTGAGTTTGGAACAGAGGCTGACCTTTTTTGAGATCTAGGAGCAAGAAACTTGCTTACTTCCTGCAAAAATGCGGAATAGATGTCCTCTTAAGAGCAGTTAGTCTTAAAGAGTTCCCGCTAGAGTACACTGTGTCTGATCTTTTTCAGCGCTTAAGCTAATACTAGACCACTACGCCAAGACAGATAATCTAAATAGGATATTCTCATGAGGCCATGATGTGTGCCCTATAGGATGGGGTCAACTTCGATATTGGAATTGACAGCGTTGATGTGTAGGGATGAACAAAGAGACTGTTAGAAACGGCTCCGGAAGATGGACTTGCTGGAAGTTAGAGTGTTGCCGGACGTCTCTGGCGCTTCGGATTCTCGGAGCCGAAATGTCGACCATGTCAATGAGAGATAGAAATCCTTTGACAAGAGCCAGTACAAGAACCAAATAATAAGTGGTGCCTTGGATTGTGATACGTAGCAAGATCCAGTGTTTGAATTGATTCTGGTCGCTTTTGAGAACGCTCGGAGAGGAAAGAAACCCTGGTTTGAAAGAAAATGGTCGCAACATCTGTCAATGCAATTGTCCCAACTAAGTTTGCGTTTAGTATAGCAATTCTGAGAGGACTATTGATTGCGTTCATGTTCAATCGGCCGTGCTCACAAGCTCTCGGTGTATACCGGATGTGAGTATGAATTGAGGGTTATGATTTTCGTAATCCAGAATGCGTAAGTCCCTACGACGAACCTGGGGCAATTGTTGCGCGTACGTCAAAGATGGGCTTTTTCAATATATACTCTATAAGATACGTTGTAGGCACCAAGGAGGTCAAACCTGCAGCTAGCCAGCCTGATCTTTATATGTATGTCGGCATCGGTAGTCACGACGGCTTCACGTCTATGTACGTCACGATGAAATGAATCAAGAGGTAACTCGTGGAAGAAGAAACTACCTCGACAGTATAAGCAAGTAGACCGCAGGAAATCGACCTCGCGCTACAGCTCGCACAGTCCTCCAAGCTAGAGAATTCATCTATTTTGACTTTCTCAATGCCGAGAAGCTAAAATCATAGCAACTAGAACTAAGCGTAAACAGTATTTACCGTCCCTTGCAAGATCCTCTCTGTTTCCGCCGCGACGCGACAAAATCGACAACATCGAAGAAACTCCGCTTGTAATAACGCTCCTGTGTGGTACGGTTAACGACCTGCAGGCCGAACTGCTCGGAATATGTCCCAAACTCCCAGTTATCGGCAAAGCTCCAGGCAAAAGCACCCCAGACATCGACGCCATCTTCCCAGATCGCCTTCAGTGTTTCACTTAGATAGCTCAAGTAGTACTCGCTACGAGGGGTATCGAATAGCTGGTCCGCGAGTTCCATCTGTGCCTCGCCAAAGACGGGGAAGCCAATTTCGGTGATAAACACCGGCTTACGAAACGTGTTCCAGACGTAGTTGAGCAAGGTGCGCAGGTATAGGGGCGTCATATAGACGTAGGACTGGGATCTATAACCAACATTCCAACCCGTGGCGTCAATGACGCTCTGTTCAATACACCAGGGATAGAGTGGATCCGTCACGTTCGCCGCACATTCGTTGATTGTGGTCGTTGACGGAGGTGTCACCGCAACCGAAGTGTAGGCGTCAATGGCGAAGAAATCGGCTGTGCCACCCAGGTATGCCAGGTCATTGTCCGTGAGCGGGATAAAGTCTGTGACGGTCTTCTTGTATGATTCTGGGAAATCAATTCCAAGCATGAGCGGGTTTGCAAACGTTGCTGCTTGCAGATCGTTGTAATGGTTCGCGGCGTCGACATGGCTACTATTGAGCGGGTCTTGAGGCATGCCCATGGTAACACTTAGCTTGAGACTGAGCTTCCCCCGGCCCTTGATCTCGTCTCTGTAGAAGTGATATAAGCTAGCATGTGACTTGATGACCGTATCAATGCTCTGACCATTGGATGCAAACAAGAGCGGCTCGTTCCAAGTGATCCAAATCGGGACTCTATCGGCAAGACGGGACATGACCACCTTGCCATAGTAGACAAAAGCGTCCGTGAAAGTAGTGTTGTCATAGCCACCATTAAGATACCCAAAGTGGCTATCATAGCGCTGCGACAGGTTGGCATAGAACTGCAACGGAGTGTCAAAATGATACAAAGTCACCGCCGGCTTCATGCCCTTCTCGATGATGAAGTCGACCATGTCGCTATAGTGGTCCAATCCCGGCTGATTGACAGGCGAGCCCGGTGCAACAAACGGTACGATACGTGTCCATGAAATCGAGAAAGCGAAGTATTCAACTCCCATAGCGGCCGCGCGCTCGATGTCTTGCTTGTACAGGTAATAGAACTCATTGGCTACAAAATTGGTTTCAGAGCTTTGGCCGAGCCCGATGGGTAACTCAAGTAGACTGGGCGTACGGCCTTCATCAGCGATGGCCCCCTCCATTTGGCCAGCGGAACCAGCAACTCCGAACATAAAGCTATCCGGGAAGAAATAGCAGTCTGTCGGGCCAAAGTACGATGGAGGTGGAAGCACCAGCTTTTCAGTTGATACTGGCGTCGGAGCCACAGTTGTCTAAGGGATTCTGTCAGTATTGATGATTTGCAAGGAATCTGAATCTGGAAGCAATACCGAGTAAAGGCCACGGGTAGTAAAATTCGCGAGCGAAGCTCGCTCCCATAACGATGACCATGCTGCGTGGCCGTACGGGTCCCCGAGATCTGTTGGTCGTGCTATTGCACTCGGATCCCAGCTGCCCCAGCTAGTGGCGCTCAGCTCGGGCATTAAACTCTGCAGATGCTCATACGATGATGCGTATGCCGTCTTTGTGCCGGCAGACGCGGATGTTGCTGTACGGATAGTCGCTGTCTGCGTGAAGGAGAACTTCGACAATCTCGGTGACGGCGTGGCTTGGGCGAAAAATTCAGCCTCGCCAAAGTTGCTACGGCTACATCGCGGTGCAGGACCCTGGACAGAGCTGTACACTTGCTGTGCATATGCTGCGCCAGCTACGGCAAGGACATAAAATAGTTCGACCATGACACAATACTGAAGGTGAAAGGCTTTGCATGCGCTCCCCCTATATCAGTGGGCTATAATCCAGCTCATGCCATAGTATAGAATAGTGATCATACACGTAGCCATTATCATTGGATATATAGGTCTATACCGACGTATGGCTCCGATAACAAGTGGCGATGGCCATGATACACGGACCTTCGGAGGTCACGCCCGGTCATGATTATCGTCTGCTAGTTCACTCGGCCCCGCAGATAGACCTTTTTGCGGACTCCGAGATCCCGGCGGTCAGCATTAGGGTGCCCAGCCATCTGGTAAATTTCATTATCTTCTAGGAAATTCAGCTAGACTGCTATAGTTTAGTGTCAGAATTAGACTGTAATTGTAAACTGGTCCAGGAACGCAACGGCAATGTGTCATAACAATCGCTATCCCATAGACAGCCTTTCCAGTAGGGGAGACGAATCGAGGCGATAATTTATAAACAGGCTGAATTTCGAATGAATAGCGAAATCGGCTGCAAGACACGTCAACGCCGTATGCAATGGGGAAGAAGTACGTAACCTGAGCCTTAGATCATGGGTCTTGACCATCTAAATTTTCAAGCTTTTCTTGATGATAATCTGTGCTAGGTGAAGAGCTGAGAAATGAATATAAACCAATAGTTAGGCGAAAGAAGGTCACCTGATCACAGACAGGGGCATATCATTTACACCCAACTCAATAGCACCTAATTTCATGGAACTCTAGGGAGTAGTGTCACCCAACGCTTCGAGCAAGTAAATATGTCATACTATACAGCTTACATGTATCGCCTATTAGCCTCCTTACTTGACAAAGCGATTTGACACTGCCAGAATAAGATCCTTAGTTATATCTAGCATAAATAATAAGGATATTGTCTCTTTACTGTCACTATAATAGTAAAACGAATAAAAATAAAGTAAATAATAGTAAATCAGACATCTAACTGCTGGCAGAGGTAAGACTATGCTTTTATAACTTATTATATTAAACATTGACTCTTTTGGGATAGAAACTATCTTATTAGGGATCAGATTCACGCTGCCGAATGTTATAGTGTGTCACATGGCCGTTGTGGGTATCAAAACTATGTTTCACTTGTCAAGCTAGAATCACCTTCCACTGCTCCATTAGCCCTTGCCCAAAAGCATGTAAGAATTTAGGCCTTATATACTGTAAGACCTGAGAATTCTCAGTACGTAGTGCTGAGAATGCTGAATCTTTGGTCGTGCTCGTAATTGCGCAAGCCCAGGGCAATATCCTTACAAAGCCCCAGAGGCTCTCTCTTGCCTATTTACAGGCGTTCGCTCACTCAACTACCTTTCCTGGACTTTAAACCTCTCAAGAATTTGCCATGTACATCTGCCATGGGAAATACAACTCTTTCCGCTCCAGAATACACATATATATAAGACTCAGTAGGGCCGTTTTACGGCTTGTAGCACTTTTAGACCTACAATTCTACAATTGCAGTGGGAGCTTCGCGTACTACTACCTTGTGATCGCCACAACATTCCTATGCTCGCATTTCCTGAACCGGCGCTCGTCACGTTACCTTGGTCCCAGGATGTCGCACTGAAGTATCGGAAAATGCTACATCTAATAAACTCGGTTTACTGCTGAAGAGACCACAGCCAGCTTGCTACTGTCAAGTGCTGCGCGGCTGTATTGCAAGTCACAGTATAGGCAAATATTTAGAGATTTAGATGACGAGAAAACTGAGTCAAAAATTAGGCATCACTCCTTACTGGGTAGCAGCTGCTAAGCAAGGCCGAGACAACGTATAAATGTAAACAAAAACAAGCCAAAAGCACTCTGGACCGACCAAGGCAATTAATCACTCGTCATTATCTTCAGGTTTCTTATGGTTGAAATCCTTGGGTTCCTCAAGGAGGTCCTACAATTTGTCAGCATAGGCACGATAAACATACTTAACACAACCATGTTCTCCATCCAACGACCAGTAACATGAATGCTACAAATTTCGGTATCAGTCAACGCTTAGAACCTGACATGGATGATGACTGCACAAGTCTTGAAAAGGAATTTACTCTCTCAAATGCTAGTGGAATTGGCTGAGGTATGAACAGGTTCGTTGACAATCAGCGATTAGAATGTGAGAGGCCGAGTTTTTGCAAAGACATTCGAGTGGTTGCTCAATGGAGATATGGACTTGACCTGCATATTTCTGCAGGCAGACATCAAGAATAGATTTTGACTTCAAAAGGCAACACCAGTTCTACACAATGGATCTATGAGGTAATGCCGCTTGTAGTGTCAAGATATGCGACTTTATGCATTCTATCACAAGGCTTGCATCTCTATCTAGCTAGAGCAATGGACTTTACCAAGCTGACTGCCAATATTGGCAATCGTTTTGAACTGCCGCACATATGTCAATGATCTTCAAGGCATGTAAAAATAAAATTAAAACAAGCACAGCCTTGGCATCTTTCACTTGATTTCAGCCATTTCACCCGTTTCCCAAGGTCACCTAATCCTGTCTACTGACTTCGACCTTGGTGCCTTTGATATTATCACTAACCACCCTCGCATTGATCTAGTTAACGGCAGATACATTACCGATATAGCGGTTTATGACCGAGTACCACGTGTGGTGGGCTTAGTCATTGTAACGAAGGGCAGATAAGTCAGCCGGAATCTCGGATCCGAAATCCGTACAATAACCATGATTGCTGTCAAATTATGCGCTGTAACAGATTAAAGGCTTTAAGGGCCAAGCACTCCGGATGATAAGAGTATGTAGAGTCAGGAGAATACTTCGTCACTGAAAGGCATTGGATATATCGGGGAATAACTCCTTTGCGAGCCACTCCGTCATAAGCGAGCCGCAGCCCGAACATGTCGGAGACGCAATCGCGACTTCCCGGGCGGGTCAGTCCACTCCGCAATAGATTTTTATAGAAAATCAAATACTGTTTCCACTCTTCTGTCATATAATATAATAGGGATTTACTCCTTTCGAAACATAATTAACGAGATCTCAGCATCCTCCCCTCGCCTTCCTCCATCTTTTCTGCTACGTGAAGAGAAATTCCAAGATCGCCACAATGGTCAACGTCGCAGTTGCTGGAGGTACCGGCAATGTTGGCCGTACAATAGTCGAGGCTCTCAAGGCACAGACTCGTCACACCCCTTTCCTTCTCACTAGATCTGTATGTTGAAGCTTGATCCGTAGTAGAAACTGTCCCGATTTGTGTGCCGTGCTAAATCTGGCATCAGTCTACACCCCCGGACATTGGAGTGCCTGCAATACAAGTCGACTATTCCGATGTTGAAAGCCTAAGCGAGGCTCTTGAAAAGAACAATATTCACACCGTCGTCAGCTGCGTTTCCTACGAGGGTGATGCTCTCAAGGTCGCGCAAATCAACCTGATTAAGGCTGCCTCAAAATCCAGTGCCACCAAGAGATTTATCCCTAGCACATTTGGCATAGAATACCTAGCCAAGTCAGTCTTCACCTGATCGACTAGTAGTGATAATATACTAACACCTGTCACAGTAGCATCGAGGACTTGCCTGTCATGGTTGACTATTTTGGCGCATTCGATGAATTGAAGAAGTCTGGCCTTGAGTGGACAGCTTTCCAGAACGGAACATTCCTTGATTACTGGGCTATGCCTCATATCAAAACATTTTTGAAACCTATGTGGATGGGCATTGACATTCCAAGCCGCGTGGCAGCGATCCCGGGTGATGGCAATGCCCGCATAACCCTTACATACTCATATGACGCGGCAAACTTCCTCGTGGCGCTTCTTGATCTTGAGAAGTGGCCAGAACGAAGCCGATTCGCTGGCGATGTCGTCACTTGGAATGAGTTTCTCAAACTGGCCGAGGAAGTTACCGGTATGTTACCCCAATAATGACCAAGCGAAGTGGTAACTGACAACCTTGGCAGGCACGAAGTTTCAGGTTCAATATGATTCTATTGAAAGCCTCAAAAGGTTTGAGCCAACGGATCTACCCTCGCACGCTCTTTCCTACGGCATGTTTCCTAAAGAGCAGTTTCGGTGGTTCCTGTCCATAATTAGTAGATGGACTACCGATGAGGCGATCTGCTACATACCTGGAGAGCTCAATGCTAAATTTCCTGAGATTAAATGCCTAACTGTAAAACAAATGTTGGAAAACTTTTGGAGCGGGAAATGAATGTGAATAGATTTGTGGAGAACTCATCTGTGGATATCTGCGGCGCAACGTCAGGGAAGTTTGAGTTGCAAAGGTTGCTTGATGATTCAATGGTGTCTTATGTACCTACTATTCGAAATGCAGACGCTCATTATGACATATGCTACAATTTGAGGACCTATTTTCCCACGTGTGAGGATTGCTCAATCTCGCAAAAGGAAGACCTCATTGAGTCCGCCGGTGGGGCATCACGGTACAGGTTGGACTGGTGCTCCATTTTTGACCCCATCATGTTGTTATTGGATGCTTTTCTTGGCTGCCAGTTCACTGTAAACAGTGATTCCGGAGAAAAGAGAAAAGTCGCCTTCCTTCCTACGTGGTAGGGTTGTTCGGAGACTACGCCCCGATCGCCGGGAGCGAACCATCGCCCCCTTATCAGTTCTCTCAATGTAGTTAGCCTATATCGGCGTCCTACCAGTGCTTGCTCCGATCTAGTTAGTAACCAATCAGCAATCAAAGTGAAAAGATGCGAGTACCAAGATACTTCAGGTAGTCATAGGTCCTAATGCACTGTGGAATATGGTGAAGTACCGATCGACGATAGCAGAATGGCATGCGAAAGAAAACATACTGAAATCGTCGTCTTCTCTTTCTTACTGGATGAGTCACTGTCCGCATGTAGAGTGAAGAGTGCGTGAATGCACGGATCACTGAGGTGATCCCGTGTCATCGCTGCCATGACCGCACACCTCCACTAGGGTTAATCACTATTACATAGTTCAGCAAGGGTAAGGATACCCAGAAAACGAGGGCTATGATACCTGATTATGGCCTCGAAAGTTCTGTTTATTTCTGGAGTTCCACCAGCTTCACCAAGAATTACTATCCCCTACCCGGAACAGTCGCGATCCCCTTGACAGACTAGCATTGAGTACCCGGTTGGAGGTGTGCTTCAAAAGAGCTTAATTACACTCGAATTTTGGTCTTGCTCGTGGTACCAACAAGATCTTGTGGTACACACTTAGTATCGCGCAGGTGAAAAAAATCGGTCCGAATGTGCTAGAGTAAGGATTGTATTATTATTAGTAGGAAGATTTGTATGTGACAAATTGTCATTAGCTTTAATCGATGCTGCTTAGTCTACGGATAAGGGTGACAGTATTATGTATAAAAGAAGGTAGCGATAGGAGGCGAAGAGTACGGAGTAACCCGGACGCCAATTCAGTATGGTAGATAGTCTACTAAGAACTTAGCCAATTACAAGCTGAGATCCACATCATCTGCACTAAGCACTGTGTGAATATTATACAGTGTATAGTTGATACTGTAGCAGGGACCGCGGCCGTGTCTTGAAATCAACAATCGTATTGCACTAACATTATAGAAAAGCTTATCTATCATGCTAGTGGTACTAAAACAATCCTGTCTGAAAGTAGTTAGCATAGTATGCAGACCGTATCTTGAGCTCCCAAAGACCCACGCCACAGGAGGGGGATGGCAGATTGTGTGCACCGTCCAGGATCTACGGAAGCATTTGGCTAACAGTACGAGTCTTCCAATTGAAGACTACTGTGCATTCACTGGAGGTTATCGTTGGGCGAAACAAGGTCATCTAGCGGTCGCGTTTCGAGCTAAGAAAATAAATCAGGGAGTAATGGAGCAGCAGTAAGCCTAGCTTGAGGTTCATTGCCGGTACTATCGCCTGGTCAAAATATGCCCATGCGGCAGGGTCAGATAAGCGGCATATTGTTGACAAGGGGAGGGACCCGGTCCTGCGCTGTTTCTCGGAGATACTGATAAGCCCGTTGACTTGATGGACGCATTCCCGACATCCGCGTCCAGCCATGCTAGAACCCTCAATTTCTCAACCTTTCACTATCGTGTTGCTAGCAGTCCGTGAAGTCACCTGCTTCTTTTGTGCGCACAAATCCCAGACGGTGAAAAGTCATGCAGCGACAAGGCCATCGTTTGCCGTCCGCTGTAGGTCAAGCCCAGTCTAGACGGCATTGGATGTGGCTTGTTAACAGGACAACAGTGCGATCAATGCTATTACAAAAAGGTCCGAGATGGAGAGACCGACTTGTGCACACTCTGTTTTGCTTAATGACTAATGTCGAGAATCAGGTCAAATGTGATCGCAAAAGTCCATGCAGGCAGTGCAGCATTGCAGGGGTAGACTGCCTCCGTGAGCGTCCTCGCTATGTCTCACCGAATGACAGCAGGGACGGACAGTACGCGCGGCCCTCGAACACCCATGAAATAATGTGCGCTCGCTCTTCTTGCTAACTTGTGGCGTTAAGAATCAATCAACTCCTGGAACGACTGTCGTCTCTCGAAAGCTGTCTTCGGCCACTGAGCTCTGCCCTGCGAGAGACTTCGACACCAGCAGACCACGGTCCCGCGAGCGGATCGTCTGAAGCGAAATCCTCTCCTGTGCTCGAGACTAGACTTAAAATTAATGCGCCATCGCTTAAGGAGTCAGTTAAACCGGCAGATTGCTCGAAAACTTCACAGAACGGGAGCGATGGCCCTGGTCCCTCCAAGTCCGCTCGTGCATCCAGCTCTATGACACGGCAAAGCCGCAAGCGGCGTCATGAGTCCGCCGAGACAACAGCCTCAGCGACTTTGAACCCGAGCTTGCCGTCTGGTCAATCAGCCTTGAATCTGACGTCTGTCGATGCGAGCAAGAACACCGATCTTCCGAGATATCTTGGTCCAGACCTTTATGATGACTGTCTCTTGGATCCCAGCAAGCAGCAGGCTCTGGTCGCGGCAATGCATATAGCTCAGAAGGTGATGATGATTCATCCGGAGCTCGACATAGATGAGAACAGTTTTGCTCAGGAACCCGATTTCTACGATAGTTCTCTCCACCCTCCGTTGGAGTTTATATGCCTGATGCTAAATCACGGTGCGTGTACTCTCTGTGACTGTGATAAACCGTCTGACTCTGTGATACCTAGATGCTAATGATGACACTGAGTCGCTCTTCTTTGATTTTAGCGCAAACCTATCCCGCCAGTCTGTCATTCGCATGGCCTTTGCTCTGGTCCGGAACACTGTGCATGACCAGACACGCCTTCAGTATATTATCTGTGTCAACTATTTGGCGTACACGTATTTAGCAACCGTGAACGCCAATAGCATCCCGGGGGCAGCCTGCGACTACCTGAAAGGCTTGAGAACTGTTTATCGAGACAGCATTCTGCTAGCACTCAATCACCTTGACAAGTTACCGCGCGCTGATCTGACTCTATTGCAAGCATTACTCTGCGGCGTGAGTAATCCGATTAGGACTGCTTTTTACTCAGACAACTGACAGCGTATTATAGGCCATGCTTATGCAGGATATAGGCCAGGTGAAAAGATGCTGGGAGCTGAACTCGACTGCTTGTGCAGTCTGCACTGCCATCGCTGGAAACCCCTCTGTGTGTGGGATTGATTCCGAGGAAATGATTTCAGTCCGGCTCACCTACGTCAAATGCTATATTTTTGACAAGGCTTTGTCTGCCTGCATGTGCGAAACACAGTCTTTCGTTGGGATGGAAATGAATCTCAGCTTTCTCAGTCCGCAATTACCTACTCATGCCGTGTTGAAAGTACTGTATAAGGTAGGGCAAGTTTTGGATGCGGTGAGTCAAGGAAACGCATCGTCTCCAGATTCTGTGCAGGCCGAGCGCGGAGATTCCCCTACGCCGAGCTTGGTCAATGAGCGAATGATCCAAATCCAAAACGACATCGCACAGGCACGTGAATCTTGACTTCCGTATAACGATCAGAGCTAATTTTCAAGGGGTAGATGCGACCAAAGAAGGACTCTGTCAACGGATTCGACAAATTCACCTGGACTTGTATCGATTTTGTGCATTACTTCCTGAAGATGTCGGTGATAAGGACAACGAATTGGAGTAACAACTGCATCGCCTATCATGAGTGCCTAACAAACGCCCGACGGTGTCTTACAACACTTCACAATATGTTGGAATTCGTGATGTTGCAACCGTCTTTTCTAGAAAAATGTGTTGCTTCGCTAGCTTGGTTAGCACTTCTTGCATCGTGAACTTGAGACAAAGCCTGCTAACTATTCTCAGGGTGATGCCCCTCTTCATGCCTCGTCCAATGTTATTCGTTTTTCGAAATATCATAGCAACCTCAGACATCTTCGACTTTTATCAGATCCAGACTATAGCCAAACTAATAAGACGTCTCTCAAGATCTCATTCTTCTTTCTCGTCTATGGAGAGCTTTAGCAGCTCCTTGGTTGACATATGCAAAGACTTACTGCAGAGGACAATGGGTCCTTCTAACAAGCTTCTCAAGGGGAATTCTCCAAGGGCAGCAAGAACGTTGGATAGACCATCCTCTTTGGGCATGATGGACACTTCCCAACTTGACCTGTCTGGATCATTGAATAGTTCTCTTGACGGGAGTTACTCGCGAAATGAAATTGACGCCGCCAAAATGCAAAGATTCTGCAGTGAACAGGCTGGGAGTGGAAGAGATGAGAGCGCATGGCAGCAAAATATGGACTTGCTCACCACCGCCACGAAGCTTTCCATGTTTGACGACGACTTCGACTGGCCTTCACAAATATCGGGCTTTGAATTTCCATAGGCTTGAATGCAATGTGATATCAGCATACCGGTCGACCTCAACTCCTTTCCCTTCTCGCTATACGGATTATCTAGCGAACATGTGGAGTTTCAGACCGAGAATCACTGCTAAGAATCAGTGGCAACAGCTGGTCTGGCCATTCTGTTACTTACAGGACTCTTACGGAGTTTCCTGCCAGAAAAAAGGTCATGATGTTTCCAGAGTAATATCTCGACTGCAAGCAGAGAATTATAAGCAGTTTCAGAGTTCACATGCAAACATCTGGGAGTTCGGACAAAAGGCAATCGTTTCAGAAGATGGCCCCATAGTGTTCACAAAAGTTCGGGACAGAATGTGCACTGTACATGAGAACATTGTAATCATGAGTGTGGCATGGACGAGCGGACAGGAGATCACCTCTAGATGGCTCAGATTACCAATGTTCCTCAATAACGAATTCAGGCTTCCTAATAATCACTAACGGTACAACGTGAACTCGGCAAGTCTTGATGCACAGGGCACCTGGGGCAGAAATGGTCCTGGGGTAATGGTGTTGAATCACTGTGGCCCAAGTAGCTCAGCCTCACACAGGCAAAAGGTTTCGGGCGATGAGCCAACGTCTGGGACCTCGAGATAATCTTTTGGATTGTTTAAAACCAATTTGAGATGTCCGCAGGCTTTGACCGGTGGTATACGGTTAGGCACGCCAATTCCGACCATAATGAGATAGCTTGTGATCTTTATCGTTAGTGTTCAAGTTGTCATAGAAGTTGTCATAGAAGGAAAGATGCAGAAACTAAGATACCCAAGATAATACTGTGAAATAGGTCAGCTACACTCAACATACCCAGTGAATTGCTTTTATACAGTTTGAACCTCCCGCAACTTGTATTTCTTAACCATTTCGAACGACACTCGTGAGCTAAAGAGTTGCGCACTGCGCCATTTATGATAGCGCCATCCTGTTTTCGTACTATGATCTCCCACACCTTCTTTTGGATGCAATCCACCAGATAATTTCAAGCCACGACCTTCACCAGGTCAGAAGTCTGGAACTTCAGTTAAGTACGGTGAAGCTGGTCACTGAAGCGATGTATACTTTGCCCATTCCATTGCTGCAGATCCCGAGACAGGACCTGATTATGCCTTTATTTTAGCACAGTCCCTGCTTTTGAGCATAATCTCGGACGAGGGATCAGTCATCACCTGCATTGTCAATTCAGCTCAGTCTCTTCCACAAGGGATCAAACATGAAGGACTTACAATAATTCCAATTTCCAAATTCTTCGCCCGCGGGCGGCCTTCTGGGAGTTTAATGTCATAATTCAGAAGAATCTCCGCTAATACGAGCTTGACGATGCAATCGCCCAAGAACCTTCCCGGGCAAGCATGTCGTCCATAGCCAAAGTTGAGGCTAGAGAGTGAAGGAGTGATATACTGATTTTTATGCTCGGAGCCAGGAATTAATCGTGTGCGGTAGAAACGAAGACCATCAAATTCCGTGGCATTTTCATGGACACTATCATCGCCATGAACACAGCACACAGGAGCCTCAAGGCATGTGCCTTTGGGAATGAATGTTCCATCGGGAAGTTCCAAATTGCTTGTCGCGAGTCTCTGGAAAGTGCCTGAGGTCGGGGTCAGTCTATGCTATCGAACGACATGATAGATGCAAATCATGTGGATAGGAAGGTTGGATTCTTATTAGAGACAACAAATGGTATTTTTAGACTTTGGAGAAGGGGGTCTCATACTCATTGTCGGACCGTGAAGACGGGCACACTCCTTCATAAAGCTGTCCAACTTTTTCATGTTGGTAAGAGCGGCTTTGGTAAAATATCCATGCTCATCGCGTTCAGCCTCGAGCACTTCTTCTCTCAGGATCTCCACGTATTCGTGGTGGTCAGCTAAATCCAGAAGGTTTTGGCAAATCGTTCCAAAGGTAGTGATTGTTCCGACGGCCACAAAGATCAATTGGTACAGTGTCTGCGCGTCAGCGTCGGTAGCCATGGCTTCATGTTTCCCTGTGCTTAGCAGATCCAACATCGACCCTGGTTGACTCAGGAATGCTCCTCCCTTGGCTTGCTTTTCTTGAATCGATGTAGCAATCATAGCCTTGGCCTCAGCGAAACTTTCCAGAATGGCGGTACGCTGTGGGAGAAATCGGAAAACCAAACCGCGAATAAACGACGGATAAGTTTTCAGCTTGTGGATACACGAGAACACGTTTTGCATATAGGCCAACGAAACTCGTACCCACTCTGGATTCCTGCATGCCTCTTCACCATGCCAAGCCCGCGCGCCAAGAATCCCAACTAATTGAAGAACATTGTTATATGGCTTGAAGGGCTCCCAGTCTGTGATAACTTTGTGAGTGGTAAAACTTTGAACGCGGATGTAGAATACACACCGTCGTGTTGTCCAAAATATTTGAAGAGATTTTCTTGAGCAAGTTTATGCAAGACGGGCACATATTCAGCTGGACACCTGAGTTAGTAACGAGGGGAAGATGAGAATAGACAAGTCCTACGCAATGAAGGTGTCAGACCACCCTTGATAGTGTTGATGACAGAATCAGGAGGAGCACCGAAAAACGTATAGTGGCTCAACATGTCCTGGACCTGGTTTAGTATTAAAGTACACCTACTCAATGATTAATGACCAGACCTACCTCGTCAATGAACTCTTTGAAACTCAACGCGGGATGACTCTTCAAGGCGTCCACGAATTTTGGGGGTATGACTACCGTGAGGCCTACTGTTGGTTTCAATCAGGGTCAGTTGAGGTCAAATATTCACTTGTTTTTAACAATGTCTTATTACCTTCAGGATTGTTGTAGGCCCAGGGTCTGTCGGGATACTCGCAAATCTTAGACTCTCCTATGATGGACAAATGCAGGAAGAGATCACACACCTTTCGGTAGCCTTTCCACAGAACCTCCCTTGCTGAGGAGACAAACTTGGCAGCTCGTTTCTTTGCAGACCAATGCTCGTCTGCCATGACTATCGGGACATTTACCTTGCTCTTTGATCCAACTTGAATTCGCGACAACAGCAAGTAGATAACAACCACTAGAGAAAGGGCTGCGTATAGCACCCATGAAGTATTGACGAAGTGCTGCATGGCGGCTAATCGGACTGACAACGAGGAGTGTAGAACATGAGACATGTCGAAACCAAAACCAAGTCAGAAGCTTAAGTTGATAATGACTTGATTGGATACCTAAGGGCCAAAGACTTGAGACCTAGAAAAAGCATATTGATAAACCAGGTAATAAATGGAACAATGGAACAAAGGTTAGATAAGAAGCTCAGACGGTCTTAACTTCCGGAGTGATTCGCGGCACAAATTGCGGGACAATCTACGTTGCTCGGACCCCGGCCCCAAGGGTCCGCACTAACCTAGTTTCACCCACTTTCACAAGAGCGTAGCTCTCGGTGTGCCGGAGCCGATAACCCATATGGGCCAAGATAATGTGCGTGCTACAGATCCACTTGCTGATAAGGCGACTGATCTCGTAACAGGTAATCAATGAATTCGTTATTCGGAGATAGGATCTGCGGCCTCCGGCAACGGTGATACACATCACGAATCAACCTCTATGATGGATGATATATAGAGAAAAAAATATTGACAAGCGATTTTGTTACGGATCGTTCCTTCTCACTGTAGAAGAATAGTGGTCCTCACAACGGCGACTCGTCTCACGATACAAGTTTTCACTCGCAATGGATGACAAGTCTACAAAGTCTGGGGGACGCGATACGCAAGACAAAGAGAGTGCGCTGATGAGCGGCGAAGTGCAAGATGTGGACCCTCGATTCCCATCTGATGACGGTGTTCGTATGAACACTCGTTACAACTTTACTACCCTATTCGCAATGTATTTCTCGGCGAACGCTTGTGTAAGTGAATGCGTGAGCACCAACATACGTCTCCGTACTAATTGAGAACGACGTTACCTTAGTGGGAAGTTGTCACAGCTTCACTCTTCCAGGTTATCCTTGCCGGTGGTCCTGCAGTTTTGATATGGAGCTACTTGATATGTGCCGCAGGCGCAACGTGTATCGCGTGCGCATTTGCAGAATTCGCAAGGTACGTGTGCCCGAAGGCCCTGGATAAGGGCACGGCAAAGGCTGCTCAATTTCCAGGTCACTGACTTCTCTCTTTGTGATAGCATCTGGCCAAGCGCTGGTGGACAGTATCACTGGGCCGTAGTAAGTTCTGCCACTGGACACAATTCAACCTGTATCCCACAGTACTAACGATGTGCAAAGAATTTGGCCCCAGAAAAGTACAAACGTCACGTGGTACAGTATATCCAATCTACTCACAAATTTTATTTGCTAACATGATTCTTCCCAAGGGATGGTTAACCGCTTGGGTGTTAATGAGCAGGTTTACATTGGCGTGCGTCGGTCAGATTTACACGGTTGTTCAGTCGATCCAATCAATGGTCATTATTTCGATCACGGATTACGAAGCCCAAAGTTGGCACTCGTACTTGGTGAGTGGATCATATCGTGCTTGTGGAGCATATTATACTAATTGGATGCTCAGGTTTTTATTGCTGTACTCCTAGTATCGGCATCTATCAATATTTTTGTCCCTCGTGCCATTCATCACCTTTCAATCATCGGTAAGTAAACACTTAGTGTGTTATGTTGTCGTCATTCATTAATCAATCTGATTTACTAGGATTTGTATTCCATATTCTCGGCTATTTCGCATTGAGCATTACTCTTTTGGCTACAACAAAGAAGTTCAACACTGCTAAGCTGGTATTCGGCACTATCCTCGACTCGACTGGTTTTAACAATAAAGGGATGGCTTTCTTGATCGGCATGCTCCCAGCAGCCAACACTTTCATCACAATTGATGGCCCCGCTCATTACGCTGAGGAAACAAAGAAACCTCATACCGATGTTTCACGAGCAATCACTTGGGGAACAGCTCTATCTGGCTTGATTGGACTGCCTTATTGCATCATCTTGGGGTTTACCATGGGAGATCCTATTGCTCTTCTGACCTCCCCAATCAACAATCTCAACCCTCTAGCCCAGGTAAGCCAGGCCCCTTTAGGCATTGGTTCTCCAACATATATGAAACAGCAATACTGATTCTTGCGCAACGAAGGTTGTCCTCAATAATACAGGATCAAAAGCCGCAGCCATTGTATTGTCCTTGCCACTTACTATCGTTGCCTTCGCCACTACTGTCGAATCCTTGGGGATGGTTGCTCGCATTATGATGGCCCAAGCACGTGACAAAGCCATTCCATTCAGCGAATTCCTTTGCAAAATTCATCCGAAGTACAACTCTCCTACAAACGCTCTGCTCGTCATCATCTGCCTTCAAATCGCTCTCGCGGCCATCTACGTCGGGAATGTCACAGCCTTCTATGGTATCACCAGTGGCAGTGTCATCCTACAGGTCATCAGTCTACTCATTCCCATCGTGTTTCACATGATCTACAGGAAGAAGTCCAACCTTGTTTATGGGGCATGGCAAGTCTACAGGCCGGTTCGAGCCTTTGTCAATATCGCTGCCTTCATCGTCTTCACACTAATATTTGTTGCAATGCTTCTGCCCACAATGAAACCAATTACTGCCGCTAACATGTAAGCATCCTCGTGCTCACATTTCTTTTTTAAAAAAAAAATTCTGACTGACCCATTTTGATAGGAACTATGCTTGTGTCATGCTTGGTGCAGTCCTCATCCTTATACCTGCTTATTGGTTCGCTTGGGGTAGAAAGAACTATTACGGGCCTCTTTTTGTATTCTCGGCTAAGTCCATGTAGCTGTAGTGCTCTGGTTTGGACTAAAATCAGAATACTCGCCTTTGAACCGGAGGTGTTGCATTTTATTTTTAGTCTCTGGGTATAAATGCTAGTGAGGATCGAAAATTGACTGACGCACGCCATATAGTGGTGGAAGGAGGTAGATTCCCGAATTAGAATCGAAGCATACCACTTTGGGATGAAAGGTTCTGTGAATGGAAATCTACGTCACTTAAATCACATATTCCACCTATATGAAACCCCTTATCCACATGCCTGCCGCCCTTGACAATCTGTCATGCTCTTGAGATACTCCTTATAGATGAGACGATTATTGTGCTATCTACGATCTCTGATGAAATGCTTTAGGACTTCGTTCATATTATTGGGATTCTCTTGCTTTTGTGTACCACAGTGGCTGTAAGTGGGGCCGGGAGGTGTATGCGGCCTATGTGATAGTAAATTCGAGGGTCTTGGTCGTGTGAGGCTGTAATGGCAGAAGGCTTTACGTATTTTCCAGAGGTGTATAGTGATATATGCACACTATATCAATTGGTCAGACCTCGTGTAGAGAGATCATATACATGGGGGGCTCTGTCGTTTGTACAGCGTATCTATCGTACACAAAGGCAGAAAGTGATAGACTAGATCAGAGCATAACAAACAAACAGCGGCCAGACAAGACATAGTAGAGGTGGTGGGCATAAGGTTGTGACGGGTCGGTGGGCTGGTAAGTGGTATCTGACATAATAACCCCTACATATAAGGATGATATAATTCCTTCATAATACAATTTGAACTCGACTGGTGTATTTGTTAAAATATCTGCGATCCGCTACCTCTCTATATAACGGCCACAAAAAGATATAAGTCGCCCTTTATCCTCTTGACCAAATCAAGGGCATCTCTGTGTGAGAGTGTAAGAGAAAGACGACTCTCGTCTACAGAGCAAAGGCTAGTAGCTGGTGGTTGTGGCTTTGGCTATGTGTCTGTGGCGAAGATCCTGATATCGATATAATAGCTTAGCTGGTACACCCTCTCTGTTGAGAGTGTCTATTTGAGCCAGTTAATCCGGGAACTCCAAGCTCTGGTACCTCCGTAGAAACGCGGCAATCTTCTTTCTTGACGCAGAGAATTCTGGTACATCTGTGCAGAGAGTGTGTTTGGGTAGATGGGAGCTTCTGGAAATTCTGCTTGGTGTGCTAGCAAGGCGGCTGTGATTTCATTATCGAGGACAGTAGCAAGGGAAACCCCGCATATCAGAGTGAATCGCGTGGCGTCAGGTAAGCTATTGCCTGTTATGGAGAGATGAATTGACCAACTGGACAGCGCTATTCTAGTCCTACCCTATAAAACATAACGGCGTCTTTTTTGCCTGTCATAATGACGGTTTTTAATAGCTAACCCAGTGGTCCCTAGTATATCGGATGATCTATGATCTGTGGTGATAGTTATAATACATGAGTATGCAGGGTTGGAAATTAGTATAA